AAATTAAAGAAGTGGCTTCAAATCTGTAACTCAGCAGAGAAATCTGGGATTAGATAGAAAGTTTTAAAAATAAAGAATTATTGGTATAGAAATAACTTTAGTAATATAAGTAAACTTATTAATTATTATGCCCTGCTACCATGGATAAAATCTAAATCAATACTATTTACTTCTGTGAATGTTCACATTTATCCTTCAAAAATTTTGATTTGAAAATCAGTTATATTTTCTAGGTTGTCCTATAACTATAAATATAAATGTTTTGAATTAATTATGATCACTTTATGTAAGCGTAATTTCCTCATGATGTAATTCACTTTAATAAAATTATTTGAAATTTTTCTTAAAAAAAAATAGATAACCAATTAGCACCTACTATGTCGCACAGGGAACTATACTCAATACTGTGTGATAAGATAAATGGGAAAAGAATTTGAAAATGGCATCTATGTCTTTGCTGTACACTTGAAACTGGCATAACATTGTTAATTGTAGTCCAACATAAAAAGTTTAAAATAAAAGAAAGAAGGGTGAGCGGCTCCTCACCTGGGGTAGCTATTGTAAGCTCTCTAATAAAAATGAGAAATTCACATGGGACACTGCGCTTCAGTTTTTTTTTTTTTTTAGATAGAAAATTTTAATTAAATTGGCACAGTTTATAAAACCAAAAAGATAAAGTGGAATTTGTCAGTGTATTTTCAATTCTTGCCTTAACAGGCTAATGAACACAACTTGAAACACATGTGAATCCTCCTCTGTTCTATGAGACAGTGAAGGGACCTTTTTTAGTATTTAAATATATTAATATAACCAGTTATAGAAATCTAAATATAAAACCAATCTCTTATAGGGTTTGAGAAGGAATGCACCATCTCCCTAAAAAGTTTAATATTCCTTATTCAAGTTCAATCATCTCTTTAGAATGGGAAAAGTGATAGTACTTGTTGAACTGGAATTACTATCAAAATTTAAAAAGCTGACCATATTCGTTTAGCCACAAACCAATCTTATTTAAATCAGGACTGTCCAACAGAATTATTCCATCAGCCATTCATGATCTGAATTCTAATGTATGAGATCAATTTAAATATGGTACACATAAAAAGTCATGAGACACTCCTGTTTCATAATAAATAAGGCAGTGGCCAACTATTACTCATTGGTGGCTTTTTTGAGATAAGCTATCAAGTCCTCCCTTTCTCCCTTCTTCTTAATGCCAGCAAAGATCATCTTTGTTCCAGGGATGTACTTCTTGGGATTCTCCAAGTACTCCATCAGCGTCTCCTCTCCCCAGNTGTTGGCATCTGTGTAAGAGAATCCAGCAGCCTGACCCGTCTTTCGTCCAAACAGACCATGGAGGTTTGGCCCAGGCTTGTGCTTGCCTCCTTTTTCCACAGTATGGCACTGGGCACACTTCTGAACAAAAATCTTCTTGCCCTTCTCAACATCACCCATTTTTAAATCGTTCTTTCTCTGTGCGCGACCGAGAAGTTCCCGCTCACAAGCCGAACGCCCCGCTTTCTATGTGCTTCAGTTTTTTAAAGCTCAGCACTGCTCTTTTGGCTGTTCATTTCTGTTTGATCTGGAAAAGATGGTATCCTTTGAGGATTTTATTTTCTAGTTTGGGTAAGTGTTCAGAGAAGGTGAGGAGGTCCTGTAACATACAACACAGCACTCAGCAGTGCAGACTGGGAGTCACTTGGTTCTTGTCTGAGTGAGACCTCTCTAAGCCTTAGTACATACAGGAGATGGAGACAGTAATTCTCATCTAACTATAAGGATTATTAAATTGGAAAATACATGTAAAGCTCCTAGCATAGCACATGGTATATATATTCACTAATTGTTAGCACTTATCATTATGTTATTTAAAATGAATTATTAGGTGATTTTTTTCTGGGGAGTCTAGTGTTGCAGTATTATTCTTTAGTCTCAATATCAACTGCCTTCGATTTTTTTAAGTTTTTATTTTGCATTTTGTTTTTTTCTATTTTTCTATTATGGCAATAAAAATATAACATTAAAATTTCCATCTTAGTCATTTTTCACTATATAGTTCAATAGTGTTCAGTATATTCACATAGTTGTAACAGATCTCCAGGACTTTTTCATGTTACAAAACTGAAACAGTATGACCTTTAAAAGTTAATTCCTTCACCTGCTCCCACCTCCTTGGCTATCATGTTTCAGCTTTCTGTTTTTATGACATAGGTATATAATGG